GTTATTTATTAAATATACTTGGGACAGTGTACAACGTATGTAGAATTTAAGAAGGGTAGGGGATGTGTAGACCTAGTGTTTACACTGAAGCATGTAAGCGAACAATGCTTACATAAGAATAAGGAACTGTTTATAGCATTTATGAATAGTGGTAGGGAGTAATGTGGCAGATGTTGCGAATGTATGGAAGAGGCGGTAGGTTGCTTAAACTGTAAAGCGTATATAAGCGGTGTAAGACTCGGGTAAGGGTGGATGGAGGAGAACGGGACTATGTTCCGGTAAGAAGCATGCCTTGCAGGCAAGAATGTGTGATGTTACCTTAGTTAGCTGTCATATTTATAGACTGTAGCAGTAAATCCTAGAGTGTAGGGCAGAGGTGTGGGATTTATAGATGACGATTCTGATACGAAATGGGAGTTAGACACAATTGTTCTTTGCCGATTACGCCGTTCTTTTGAGAAATTCTGAAGAGAAGATGCAAAAGGTTGGTGGAGGAAGTTGGGAGGGTATATAAAAGAAGGAAATTAAGAATGAACACTGGAAAGATCGAGGTGATGAGAGCAACAAAATATCTAAACAATGAAAGATTAGATATCAGACTGTAGAGAGGGAACATGGATGAAATGAATGTATTTAGATACTTACGAGTGAACACGCCGGTAGAATGTTCCTTACCTTCACTGGACGTCCCTCACACCAAATTTACATCAGTTTAGCCTGCCACATACCTGTCGTGAGAGAAATATATTAAGATGTGGAGACGTCTAGCAACAGTACTATGATGCGAGGAATAATAGTGAATATCAACACATGATGCAGATAAAACAATGTCCACATCACAGAGCATATACATGTATAAGTAAAAAATAAAACCATTATAAGAAGCTAAAATAGAGCCAAAAACTGCTCCACAGCCACGTAAGAAAAAATTATTTGTGAAAGACCAAGTGATCAGATGGTAGAAGGAAGGATAAATGTAAAAGACGACACAGATGACGTGCATCCTTTCCAAAGTAATGAAGAGGGCACACACACATCTGGAACCTCGGGCCAAGGGGCTCAACACACACACAACACTATGTTTACTATATATATCTCGTCACACATGCAATACTATGTTCATTATATCTAGCTCGTCACATACAACACAATGATCACTATATTTAGCTCGTCACATACAACACAATGATCACTATATTTAGCTCGTCACATACAACACAATGATCACTATATTTAGCTCGTCACATACAACACAATGATCACTATATTTAGCTCGTCACATACAACACAATGATCACTATATTTAGCTCGTCACACAACACAATGATCACTATATTTAGCTCGTCACATAACACAATGTCACTAATTACTCGTACATACACACATGATCACTATATTTAGCTCGTCACACACAACACAATGATCACTATATTTAGCTCGTCACACACAACACAATGATCACTATATTTAGCTCGTCACACACAACACTGTTCACTACATCTAACCTCACTCCTCGAGACAATAATTTACCCTACTTAGGTCTCCATTATAATGTACACACTTTCTCACTATACTGTCACAGTACACCATCCAGGATCACATCACAGTTCTTAAGCAATGTCTCGTGAAGAAACTAACTCAGACTTTGCCATACTGGTTATGTAATGAATCTTCTCCAAAGTTCGGAACACTCTCAACTGACCATTATTATTATTAAGCACAATCGTCAAGACTGTCATGGGTCATACAGTATGACTCTCTGGTGTTGTGTTTCTTCCACACTCACATAACACTATATTATCACCATCAATAATATTATTACTATCTACAATATTATCTATAATATCACTATCTACAATATTATCACTGTCTACAATATTATCACTATCTACAATATTATCACTGTCTACAATATTATCACTGTCTACAATATTATCACTGTCTACAATATTATCATCTATCTACAATATTATCACTGTCTACATATATTATCACTGTCTACAATATTATCACTGTCTACAATATTATCACTGTCTACAATATTATCACTACAATATTATCACTGTCTACAATATTATCACTGTCTACAATATTATCACTACAATATTATCACTGTCTACAATATTATCACTGTCTACAATATTATCACTACAATATTATCACTGTCTACAATATTATCACTGTCTACAATATTATCACTGTCTACAATATTATCACTGTCTACAATATTATCACTGTCTACAATATTATCACTGTCTACAATATTATCACTACAATATTATCACTGTCTACAATATTATCACTGTCTACAATATATCACTACAATATTATCACTGTCTACAATATTATCACTGTCTACAATATTATCACTGTCTACAATATTATCACTACAATATTATCACTGTCTACAATATTATCACTGTCTACAATATTATCACTGTCTACAATATTATCACTACAATATTATCACTGTCTACAATATTATCACTGTCTACAATATTATCCCCTACAATATTATCACTGTCTACAATATTATCACTGTCTACAATATTATCACTGTCTACAATATTATCATTTTACAATATTATCACTGTCTACAATATTATCACTGTCTACAATATTATCACTGTCTACAATATTATCACTGTCTACAATATTATCACTGTCTACAATATTATCACTGTCTACAATATTATCACTGTCTACAATATTATCACTATCTACAATATTATCACTGTCTACAATATTATCACTATCTACAATATTATCACTGTCTACAATATTATCACTGTCTACAATATTATCACTGTCTACAATATTATCACTGTCTACAATATTATCACTGTCTACAATATTATCACTGTCTACAATATTATCACTGTCTACAATATTATCACTATCTACAATATTATCACTGTCTACATATTATCACTGTCTACAATATTATCACTGTCTACAATATTATCACTGTCTACAATATTATCACTGTCTACAATATTATCACTGTCTACAATATTATCACTGTCTACAATATTATCACTGTCTACAATATTATCTACAATATTATCACTGTCTACAATATTATCACTGTCTACAATATTATCACTGTCTACAATATTATCACTGTCTACAATATTATCACTGTCTACAATATTATCACTGTCTACAATATTATCACTGTCTACAATATTATCACTGTCTACAATATTATCACTGTCTACAATATTATCACTGTCTACAATATTATCACTGTCTACAATATTATCACTGTCTACAATATTATCACTATCTACAATATTATCACTGTCTACAATATTATCACTGTCTACAATATTATCACTGTCTACAATATTATCACTACAATATTATCACTACAATATTATCACTGTCTACAATATTATCACTACAATATTATCACTGTCTACAATATTATCACTGTCTACAATATTATCACTGTCTACAATATTATCACTGTCTACAATATTATCACTGTCTACAATATTATCACTGTCTACAATATTATCACTACAATATTATCACTGTCTACAATATTATCACTGTCTACAATATTATCACTACAATATTATCACTGTCTACAATATTATCACTACAATATTATCACTGTCTACAATATTATCACTACAATATTATCACTATCTACAATATTATCACTATCTACAATATTATCACTGTCTACAATATTATCACTGTCTACAATATTATCACTGTCTACAATATTATCACTGTCTACAATATTATCACTGTCTACAATATTATCACTGTCTACAATATTATCACTGTCTACAATATTATCACTGTCTACAATATTATCACTGTCTACAATATTATCACTGTCTACAATATTATCACTGTCTACAATATTATCACTGTCTACAATATTATCACTGTCTACAATATTATCACTGTCTACAATATTATCTACAACAGGTCAAGATAAAAACTGTTATATTCAACATCTTCCTCAATGTTCACTTAGCAAGACAAAATATTCTTCTGAGTTATCACAATATTTAAAATAACATCAAGTCGTTGTTAATATTCTTGAAATGATTCACAAAATTAAAATAATTCCGCCAATCCAATATAATATAAAAAGTTAATTCTTAATAATATTCCTCATAATATAAAATAAAAAGTTAATTCTTAATAATATTCCTCATAATATAAAATAAAAAGTTAATTCTTAATAATATTCCTCATAATATAAAATAAAAAGTTAATTCTTAATAATATTCCTCATAATATAATATAAAAAGTTAATTCTTAATAATATTCCTCATAATATAAAATAAAAAGTTAATTCTTAATAATATTCCTCATAATATTAAATAAAAAGTTAATTCTTAATAATATTCCTCATAATATAATATAAAAAGTTAATTCTTAATAATATTCCTCATAATATTAAATAAAAAGTTAATTCTTAATAATATTCCTCATAATATAATATAAAAAGTTAATTCTTAATAATATTCCTCATAATATTAAATAAAAAGTTAATTCTTAATAATATTCCTCATAATATAAAATAAAAAGTTAATTCTTAATAATATTCCTCATAATATAAAATAAAAAGTTAATTCTTAATAATATTCCTCATAATATTAAATAAAAAGTTAATTCTTAATAATATTCCTCATAATATAATATAAAAAGTTAATTCTTAATAATATTCCTCATAATATAAAATAAAAAGTTAATTCTTAATAATATTCCTCATAATATAAAATAAAAAGTTAATTCTTAATAATATTCCTCATAATATTAAATAAAAAGTTAATTCTTAATAATATTCCTCATAATATAATATAAAAAGTTAATTCTTAATAATATTCCTCATAATATAAAATAAAAAGTTAATTCTTAATAATATTCCTCATAATATAAAATAAAAAGTTAATTCTTAATAATATTCCTCATAATATAAAATAAAAAGTTCGCTGCCAAAATTCCTCAAAAAAAAGTCTCATAAAAAATAATTTTGAATATTCCTCAGTCTGCGTCATACAAATAAAACGTTTATACTGTGTGAAGCTCTTCACACCTTGTGAGAGCTGGGTTGGCAGGTGGAGCTTCAGTGGGCACTCGGTGAAGCTCTTCACACCTTGTGAGAGCTGGGTTGGTAGGTGGAGCTTCAGTGGGCACTCGGTGAAGCTCTTCACACCTTGTGAGAGCTGGGTTGGCAGGTGGAGCTTCAGTGGGCACTCGGTGAAGCTCTTCACACCTTGTGAGAGCTGGGTTGGCAGGTGGAGCTTCAGTGGCACTCGTGAAGCTCTTCACACCTTGTGAGAGCTGGGTTGGTAGGTGGAGCTTCTGTGGGCACTCGGTGAAGCTCTTCACACCTTGTGAGGCTGGTTGGCAGGTGGAGCTTCAGTGGGCACTCGGTGAAGCTCTTCACACCTTGTGAGAGCTGGGTTGGCAGGTGGAGCTTCAGTGGGCACTCGGTGAAGCTCTTCACACCTTGTGAGAGCTGGGTTGGCAGGTGGAGCTTCAGTGGGCACTCGGTGAAGCTCTTCACACCATTTGGAGAGCTGAGTTGGCAGGTGGAGCTTCAGTGGGCACTGGGGAGGCGAAAGCTTGTAGTAAAGTAGAGTGATGTCCCAACTGGTCTGGTAATGCGGACTGATGTCCCAACTGGTCTGGTAATGCGAACTGATGTTCCAACTGGTCTGGTAATGCGGACTGATGTCCCAACTGGTCTGGTAATGCGGACTGATGTCCCAACTGGTCTGGTAATACGGACTGATGTCCCAACTCGTATGGTAATGCGAACTGATGTCCCAACTGGTCTGGTAATGCGAACTGATGTCCCAATTGGTCTGGTAATATAGAGGGTTGTAGTGTAAGGTTGTTAGGAGCCTGACTTCTACTTAAGCGCGTTAACAGGTGGGCAACGAATCGTCGATATTGTAAAAGCAGGTTCAGCAGGGCCCTGGTGTTGAAGTAACGGGTCCTGTCACCATCCTGTGCACGGGGGCACTCCATGTCTTGAGGTATCACACTAAGTTCCTCATTATCGTGAGTAACGCCACTCTCCACGTCTCGTGGAGTACTGGAGTCAAGACTCCTACGACAGTAACAATACAGTGAGCATGTACAAGCGGCGTAGATCAAAGCCACCTTTACTTCCCACCACCAGAATAATGGTCCCTCAGACCATACCAGATCTTCTGGCTCCAAGGATTTGAGAGAGTAAAGTGGCAGGCGAACCTGAATGTACTGTAGGACAATCATGGCTTTACCTATATAATTATCACCCCCCCAAAAACCAGCATACAAAAACCCAGATTTGCATCAAGCCAAAACTTAACTTTGGAGCAACGAAGCCAAATATCCATATCACGACTGCGGAGGAAAGTATGATAGCACAAGTTTCCAACGAAGCCTGAACTTCCTTGGTTTCATCTACTGTTAATTCATTTCCAAATATTACATTGTCTATGGGTATAAATTTAATCGTGTCTTCAAGGAACTTAAAGAATTTATTCTTGGTTTTAATGACAGTGGGGTCTTTTTGCCTGTCATCCAATGGTTGATCCAGGTTGTATTTTCCCATACATAAGGCAAGTTAAGTCAGTAAGGACGACCAGCAGGAAGACGACCTCAGCAAGCCAAACCCACCATCGCTTCTTAGAGTAATTCATTTTCTGAATGTTTGATTGCAAACTTTTGATAAGAGTAAATAACTAAATTATAATGAACACAATAACAATGCAGACACACCTAATAACTTCCACTAATATATATGGTTTGCTAGTGAAAATTAGTTAGGATCGAATAGTGAAAATTATTTGTGTAGTGAAAATCAATTATAACTTATAACTTACACAATAACTATGTAGACACACCTAATAACTTCCACTAATATATATGGTTTGCTAGTGAAAATTAGTTAGGATCGAATAGTGAAAATTATTTGTGTAGTGAAAATCAGTTAAGTTGTGAAGTAAATGTTACTACAGTGTTGTAGTGAATGTTACTAGTGTTGTGTAGTGAATGTTACTACAGTGTTGTAGTGAATGTTACTACAGTGTTGTGTAGTGAATGTTACTACAGTGTTGTGTAGTGTAGGTTACTGCAGTGTTGTGTAGTGAATGTTACTACAGTGTTGTGTAGTGAATGTTACTACAGTGTTGTGTAGTGAATGTTACTACAGTGTTGTGTAGTGTAGGTTACTACAGTGTTGTGTAATGAATGTTACTACAGTGTTGTGTAGTGTAGGTTACTACAGTGTTGTGTAGTGAATGTTACTACAGTGTTGTGTGTGTAGGTTACTCAGTGTTGTGTAGTGAATGTTACTTTCTGTTGTGTGTAGTGTAGGTTTACTCAGTGTTGTGTAGTGAAGTTTACTACATGTGTTGTGTAGTGTAGGTTACTGCAGTGTTGTGTAGTGAATGTTACTACAGTGTTGTGTAGTGAATGTTTACTACAGTTGTTGTGTAGTGAGGTTAATGCAGTGTTTGTGTTGTGAATGTTTACTACAGTGTTGTGTAGTGTAGGTTACTACAGTGTTGTAGTGAATGTTACTACAGTGTTGTGTAGTGTAGGTTACTGCAGTGTTGTGTAGTGTAGGTTACTGCAGTGTTGTGTAGTGAATGTTACTACAGTGTTGTAGTGAATGTTACTACAGTGTTGTGTAGTGTAGGTTACTACAGTGTTGTGTAGTGAATGTTACTACAGTGTTGTGTAGTGTAGGTTACTGCAGTGTTGTGTAGTGAATGTTACTACAGTGTTGTGTAGTGAATGTTACTACAGTGTTGTGTAGTGAATGGTACTACAGTGTTGTGTAGTGAATAATACTAGTGTTGTGTAGTGAATATTACTACAGTGTTGTAGTGAATGTTACTACAGTGCTGTAGTGAATGTTACTACAGTGTTGTAGTGAATGTTACTACAGTGTTGTAGTGAATGTTACTACAGTGTTGTAGTGAATGTTACTACAGTGTTGTGTAGTGAATGTTACTACAGTGTTGTGTAGTGAATGTTACTACAGTGTTGTGTAGTGAATGGTTTCTACAGTGTTGTGTAGTGAATATTACTACAGGTTGTAGTGAATGTTACTACAGTGTGTTGTGTAGTGAATGGTTTCTATAGTGTTGTGTAGTGAATGTACTACAGTGTTGTGTAGTGAATATACTAGTGTTGTGTAGTGAATATTCTACAGTGTTGTAGTGAATTTACTAAAAGTGGCTGTAGTGAATGTTACTACAGTGTTGTAGTGAATGTTACTACAGTGTTGTAGTGAATGTTACTACAGTGTTGTAGTGAATGTTACTACAGTGTTGTGTAGTGAATGGTACTATAGTGTTGTGTAGTGAATATACTACAGTGTTTGTAGTGAATATTACTACGTGTTGGGAGTGAATGTTACTACAGTGTTGTAGTGAATGTTACTACAGTGTTGTGTAGTGAATGGTACTATAGTGTTGTGTAGTGAATAATACTACAGTGTTGTGTAGTGAATATTACTACAGTGTTGTTGTGAATGTTACTACAGTGTTGTAGTGAATGTTACTACAGTGTTGTAGTGAATGTTACTACAGTGTTGTAGTGAATGTTACTACAGTGTTGTAGTGAATGTTACTACAGTGTTGTGTAGTGAATGGTACTATAGTGTTGTGTAGTGAATGTTACTACAGTGTTGTGTAGTGAATATTACTACAGTGTTGTGTAGTGAATATTACTACAGTGTTGTGTAGTGAATGTTACCACAGTGTTGCGTAGTGAATGTTACTACAGTGTTGTGTAGTGAATGTTACCACAGTGTTGTGTAGTGAATGTTACGACAGTGTTGTGTAGTGAATGTTACTACAGTGTTGTGTAGTGAATATTACCACAGTGTTGTGTAGTGAATATTACTACAGTGTTGTGTAGTGAATGTTACCACAGTGTTGTGTAGTGAATATTACTACAGTGTTGTGTAGTGAATGTTACCACAGTGTTGTGTAGTGAATATTACTACAGTGTTGTGTAGTGAATGTTACCACAGTGTTGTGTAGTGAATGTTACCATATCAGTGTTGTGTAGTGAATGTTACTACAGTGTTGTGTAGTGAATGTTACTACAGAGTTCTGTAGTGAATGTTACTACAGTGTTGTGTAGTGAATGTTACTACAGAGTTCTGTAGTGAATGGTACTATAGTGTTGTGTAGTGAATGTTACTACTATGTTAGGTTAAAGGACACAAGTGCAACTAATGTGACATTTTATTGTGGGAACGTTTCGCTCTCCAGGAGCTTTGTCAAGCCGTTACAACCAGTACATGGACACACAGGGTATATATAGGCTCAGAGTGAGGTGTAATACTAGTGGTAGTAGTTGTAGTACTATTTGTTGTAGTAGTGATACAATATGGATATTATCAGGTCCAAGTCACCTACTGGCCTAAGCTAGTCAGGTCCAAGTCACATCCACTTAAGAAGGAAGGAGCAATGCATCAGACGGGTCATCGCAAGATTGAGACCCGTGCCAGGACTACGATCTTGGCGAACATTATACATACATCAGACTCACTGGCTCAAGCCAGTCAGGTCCAACTCACACAAACCCACACCTACTTATGTATTGGTCTTACCTATTTTTAAAACTACACAAGGTAATGTTTGGCTTCAATAACGCTACTTGGGAGTTAAAAGACGGGTCCAAGAGCTGAAGTTCAACACTCACAAATTAAACTAGGTATTTATTTCCACAGTCCTCCTTCCCTTCTCGTCCTCATCCTCCCCCTCCTCCATCACCCCGTCAGCACATACCCCACCTCCTCCCACTCAGAAGCCAAGCCCACGGCTTGTTCCGTCTGTGTCTGTGTGATAAGCAACACCAACAACAAAAACAGGAGGAGGAGGAGATTAGGAGATAAATTGAGAAGGAAGAGGAAGAACTGGACAACGATGAAAAAAAAATGCGGAAAAACACAAAGATAAGACAAAGAGGAGAAGATGAGATGAGATGAGGAAGTACCCACCTACGCCCACCTTTGTTTTAATAAAGGCACGCCCCGCCCGCCCCCTCCCCCCCCCCCACCAGTGCAATACTACTGACCACTAGTTCTCTCTCTCGTACCGTACGCTACCACTCATCTTTGGTCCACACGCAAGCACGCACGCACGCGCGCACGCACGCGCGCACACAACACACCAACACACACACACACACACACGCACGCACGCACGCACGCACCAGCACCACACACACACACACACACACACACACACACACACACACACACACTGGCTACAGGAACCATGATAATGTAATCACTGTACCCATCCACTCTCTACAACCTTCAAGGTCCTACCCACTGCCGCACCTTCCCCCACTTCAAATATTCACTTCCTCTTTCCTTATTCACAGACTTCCCCCACCCATTTTACCTCCCATCTCCACTCCTCTTCATGCCCTTGCTCACCTTAAACAGCAGGAGGCGTGGGCGTGGCAGGTGGACTTATGAAGGGCCCTCAATGCCACTCCTTGGCACCCCCTACGACGCCACCAGGCACTCAAGAAGACACTGAGGCCGCGCCCTCTTTATCCTCAACCACCCCTTACCCTACCTCCACACACAAAACACACGGGGCCAGACGCTGTGACTTGACCCCTGCAACCATATGTAGGTGAGTACACACACATATACAGGCCAGAAACCAGTCATGGTGATCGACAAAACTTTTGTAGTAGCAGGCAAGTCTCCACCTCAGCGCAAACACACTGGTGAACGCAAATCAAGCAGTCTACACACTCCTCTGTGATCATACACCGTGACGGGGCCCACTGCTACATCACCGCAAAACTAATATATATATATATATATATAATATATATATATATATATATATATATTAATATATATATATATATATAATATATATATATATATATATATATGCAAACAACCACTCTGAAAAAATAGAGAAATTCCAAGCGTTTTCGTGACTACTCACATTATCAAGGAACTATGAAAGTAAAGCATACAAGGAAGCTATATAAGGGGTCAGGCCAGCACCTCACTATCAGATCCCACAACGGTTAAACACCTGACGCGCGCCGACCCAACTTGGATAGGTCCTTTGCACAACTCACCCCACAAACTATTCTACCCAAGAAATTTTAAAAATTATTTGTCCAGTGTATTATTAAATTCTTCCCAAATTCTATTAATTATAAATGGATCTAATTTATATAAACCAAAGGAAATATTCATATTATTGTAAAAACTGCTTTTTATGAAACAAGATTCAATTATATTCCTGTCGAC